AAAAAAAAAAAGAGACAAAGTCTTGCTATACTGCCCAGGCTGGTCTCAAATTCCCAGGTTTAAGCAACCTTATTGCCTCAGCCTCCCAAAGTGTTGGGAACTACAGAGGTGAGCCACCATGCCTGGCATTAATTTCTTTTGAAGGCCGAGACAAGCAGATTGCCTGAGCCTGTGGGTTCAAGACCAACCCCAGAAACTTGGTGAGACCTCGTCTCTACAATAAATCAAAAATTAGCTGAGCGTGGTAGCACGCACCTCTAGTTCTGGCTACTTGGAAGGCTGAAGCAGAAGAATTGCCGGAGCTCAGCAGGTTGATGCTGGTGTGACCGTGAGCATGCCACTGCACTCCAGCCTGGGCGACAAAGTGGGAATCCAACTCAAAAAAAAAAAAAAATTCTTCTGAAGCAGTGATTTCCTAACTTGCAAATCATCATAAAATCATCTACCAACCCATACCACTTGATTACCAAATATGCTCCCCTTGCAAGCTCTACCCAGATGCCTGACTCAGTGAAGTCAGTGGTTCTTTACTGCTTAAACTGGACAAATCTTCTTTCCCTTGGGAGAAGGTTTGGTGTCCAGGTTTTCCTAAAAACCTAAGTGCCAGGGGAGCAAGCTACTTGCAGAACTGTTGCATCTGTTTGTGTAGAAAAAATTTTGGTCTGGATTTCTGTGTCGTGTGGCTGTTAAATTGGGTTCTCTATTAAAATAATTGATAAATCCGGGCACAGTGACCTGTAATCCAACAATTTGGGAGGCCGAGGCAGGAGGATTGATTGAGACCAGGAGTTTGAGACTTGTCTGGACAATATAGCAAGACCTTGTCTCTACAAAAAATCAAAAAATTAGCCAGGCCTGGTGGCACATGCCTATAGTCCCAGCTACTCAGGAGGCTGAGGCCTAAGGATCTCCTGAGCCCAGGAGGTCAAGGCTGCGGCGCGTCATGATTGGGCCACTGCACTCCAACCTGGGCAACAGAGTGAAACTCTGACTCCAAAAAATGGAAGAATTGGTGCCTGCAAAGCTAAGGGAGGCCAGACTCTAATCTCAGCCACCTCAGGGTGTCCTCCACCCTTACAACACACATATATCTTAAGTCCTTTTATTATTTTATGTTAACAGAGTTAAGAGTATACTTAGGCACGAGGGAATCCAGTCATACAAAAGTAAAGGAAAATAACTTATTAAGTGCCTAGGAACACTTATGTTTCTGTTTTTCTTTCCAAAATTCTGGTTTCTCCATTTGCTGTTACCAACTTACCTTGTCCCCCTTGTACCCAGGAATTCCCTGGTTAAAAAAAGAAAAAATAAATATAATATTAGAAGGCAGAGAGAGAGAGTAAATATGAGATGCTTTCATTTATAAGCCATAACAAAACAAATCAACATAGTCTTGGAAAATAAGACCATGTACACGTAAGCTATTTCACTTCACTTTGTGCTGGAGGTGCATTTACTAAGGAAGAAAAGAACTTAATTTTCCTTTATTACTTTCTATTTTCAGTTTCAGGTATTTTTTTCAAACCCCATTTCTTACCCTTTGGTCTAAAGTTGGAGGAGATAATGTATAAGGAAAGTCACTGTAGAAGTGATGACCTCTAATGGCCCTTTCCAAATTGTTCTATTGACTTGTAAACTCTGAACTATGGCAGCTGAGAATGTTTCAAAGAGACTCTAGGGGAACTTGGCTTTGAAAATGAGCTGAGATAATGGCCTTTCAACTGTGTGTAAATATTTGTGTCCATGATGGGTCTCCCTTCAAACTCAGTCTAGAATGTACAACATCAAGGAAATGAATGGGTCTTTCATCAGCCCTAATGAGACGGTGACCTTTAAGTTACAGTGTCTCATCTCTCGGTAAATAAGAGGCCAGGGCCTGTGCTGTCTTCTGTGCATGGCTCTTGAGAGTCTCATACATTCGTCACCATGTTGCTGCCCATGAGCCCTTTAAGTAGCACAATATTGAGTATGACATGGACTGGCGCTAAGCAGTGGAAAGTCTTTTTCAAATGAAATGTTTTGTCTTTCTTACACGACTGTATTTTTCAAGTATGGAAACAGAATAGTAAGCCTTATTGCAAGTGAGCTAGAGAAACCTGTGGAATAAGCAAGCTATTATTGCAGCAACTTGTGAGTCAAGCTACAAAATTTTGTTCTGTGCATGACCTTTTGACAAAAGGAAACTTCATGAAGGAAATATCACTTGTCTCCAAATGTGTGGTCACTGAGAAATAGATGATAAAAGTAGAATACTGTTATGCTACAATTTAATCCGTTTTAGAAGTATTTATTCACATGATTCTAGAATCATGCTTAAAATCAAAGGCCATTTGGTAGATAGTTAAGTGGGATTCTCTGGTTAAACAATTCATGCTTGTAGTGCTTAAAAAAAAAGAATAAACTTCTAATCTCAGGAATATTGGGGCACCCTCTGCCCTGGCAACAAGCAACCATATTTAAAATTCTGTCATTACTTTATGCTCACAGAGCTAAAAAGTTTTTTTTTGAAAGGAGCTAATATAGCTTTAAAAAAATAAAGGAATATCACTTTTGGGGGCATACTTTTTTCCTCCACTTTTCTTTCTGAAATCCCTGATCAATTAACTGTTTGGTTGCTATATTCAGTTTTGTTTCCTTTTTTTTTTCCTTTCAAGGCATCTTATTTACTAGTTTTAAAGTATTCAAATTTAAACCAGGCATGGTGGTTCATTCCTGTGATCCCAGCACATTGGGAAGCCGAAGCAGGAGGATCACATAAGGCCAGGAGTTTTAGACTAGCCCGGGCAACATAACAAGACTCTATCTCTACCAAAAAAAAAAAAAAAAAAAAAGTAGCTGGGCATGATGGTGCATGCCTGTAGTCCCTGCTACTAGGAAGGCTGAGGCAGGAGGATTGCTTGAGCCCAGGAGTTTGAGGTTATAGTGAACTATGGCCACACCACTGCAGTCCAGTCTGGGTGACAGAGTGAGACACTGTTTCAAACAATAAATAAATAAAAATAGAATGTTCACATTAAAACACCCAAAATTGCACTCCCTGACAAATTTGTTTGACTTTTTCTAAGAATGAGACCATCATATTTCAGATCATACAGAATCAAAATTTCATAATCATTTTCACTTTCTCTTTTACTCACTCGTGACACCTCTTAATCCAGCCTGTTTAACATTCTCCAACAGCGTTCCATTGTACTGAGGTAGAAACTCACACTCCTCACCTGACCTGCAGGGCCCTGTGATCCAGCCCTGGCCTACCTCTGTGGCCCAGTCTCCTAAAACCCCTCATCAACAAGTTCTGGTTTTCTTTCTGTGTCTTGAGCCTGCCAAGCGTGGTCCCACCTCAGGGCCTTTGCAGCTGTTGCTGCTTCTGCCCAGAACACGCTCATTATATTTTCATGACACGTCTCACTGACTGAAGTTATCTTTCTATTTGTTTTCTTACTTATGTTCTCCCATCAAACACTGGAACTTTTCATGAGACGGGAGCTTTCTGTCTTGCTAACTACTGTGTCTCTAGCACCTAGGAATGTGCCCAGTACACAGCGAGTACTCACTACACATGCAAACCACATATATAATTTTAAATGTCCTGCCAGGTGTGGTGACTCACTCCTGTCATATCAGCTCTTTGGGAGGTAGAGGCAAGAGGATTACCTGAGTCTAGGGGTTTGAGACCAGACTGGGCAACTTGGCAAGACTTCATCTCTACAATACATTCAAACATTAGCCAGGTGTGGTGGTGTGCACCTATGTTTCTAGTTACTTTGAAGACTGAGGCAAAAGGATCGCCTGAGCCCAGGAAGTCAAGGCTGCAGTGGCCATGAGCATGCCATTGCACTCCAGCCTGGACAACAGAGTGAGATTCTAACTCAAAAAAAAAAAAAAAAAAGTTCTAGTAGCAGCATTTAAAACAACAAAAACAAACAGGTGAAATTAATTTTTAATCATACATTTTATCTATCCTAATAGGTTCAAGATATTGTCACTTCAACATTTAGTCAACATAGAAAACTATCAGTGAGATATTTCATATACTTTTTTTGTGTGTGCTAAGTCTTCAACATTCTTTGGGCATCTTACTCCCATGACACACCTCAGTTGGGACTAGCCATATTTCTCAAGAGTCACACACGGCTAGTGACTTTCACACTGGCACCTCTCCAATGTCCCCGAAACCTCTCCTCTCGGATGTAGCCACAAACCTTCTTCTAAGGACTCCTTTCTTCTCCCTGTTACCACTTCAAATTTTTTCCAGAGTCTTGCCAGATTAACCCTCCCAGTACATTCTTGGGTCACGCACTTCATCTGAAATGGGGGTGCTCCCCATCACCTAGTGGCATACAGACCTGCAGCTGGCCACAGTGTCCACCCCAACCCCGCCCTCCCTCCACGGCGTTGAACAATTCCCAGACCCAGCGCCATTCCCCACCCCGTTTCCTCTTTCCCCTCCTCAGACTGCTGCTGCTGGCATTCTCTCCCTCTGGAATGCCTGTCCCTTTCCACCTTCCTGCTCCATCCTCGCCTGTCACAGTCTCCATCTTCTTCGAGGGTCTTCCTGTAAAACCTATCCTGACAGCCCTATCTTCTCTGAATGCCTACAGTGCTTTGATCATGCAAGTTTTTTACAGTGTTTTGACGTTTGACTTTATATTGGAGCTATCTTGAATATCTTGTCTTTCCTATGATTAGTGTTTTATCTTAGTTTTATTTTATTTTATTATTATTTTATTTATTTTTTTAGTTGTGGTTTCCCTCTGTCACCCAGGCTGGATTGCAATGGCATAATCACAACTCACAGCAGCTTCAAACAACTGGGCTCGGGTGATCCTTTACCTCAGCCTCCTAAGTAGCTGGGATTACAGACATGCACCACCATGCCCGGCTAATTTTTTTATTTTATTTTTTGTAGAGACAAGGTCCTGCTATGTTGCCCAGGCTGGTCTTGAACTCCCAGACTCAAGCAATCCTCCTGATTCAGTCTCCCAAACTTCTGGGATTACAGGCGTGAGTGTCACCATGCATGGCCTGGTTTTATTTTCACATACTAGTATGCTTTATATGTAAAAGATGCCTTAAAATATTTTCTGAATGAATAACACAATTTCTGCATGAATTTCTATTGACACCAAACTTTCTATCATATTTCTTTATGAAGCTTCTTCATGTTAAAAACACCAAGAGAACCATTTTTAAAATCTCTGGGACTGAGTCCCGGGCTTGTACCCAAAGGGCCAGGCAGAGAGAGGCAACGTAACACACCCAGCCAAAAGCATAGTGTAGACAATGTCATTCTTATGCTTACAATTTATGCAATTATTTATTTTGAGCCAGGGTCTCACTCTGTTGCTTAGGCTGGAGTGTAGTGGCATATTCACAACTACCACAGCCTTGACCACCTGGGCTTAGGTGATCTTTTCGCCTCAGCCTCCTGAGTAGCTGAAAACACAGGCACATGCCATCGTGCCCAGCTAATTTTTTTATTTATTGTAGAGACAAGGTCTCCCCATGTTGCCCAGGCTGGCCTTGAATCCCTGAACTCAGGCAATCCTCTTGCCTCTGCCTCCCAAAGTGCTGGAATTATAGGCATGAGTCACCACGCCCAGCTACAACTTATTTTTTTATTGCGAAAAAAACATCAGAAATAAAGCAAAATTCTCTTCTCATTTGAGTCTTTCACCAGTGTAGAATTAAGCATCTAGGAATGCCTGTGGTTGAATGCTCCTGGACCCATTTTCCCTCCTGCCCAGCTGGGTACCATCTGCCCACATTCCTACCTCTGAGGTTGGATCTGCCTGAGCCACCAGTGTGGGCAACTAAGAATCACGATTGCACTTGCACCACAGGGGTCAAGGTGGTCACCAGAGTCTCAGCCTCCCCGGAAGCCATCCCATTGGATACATACCCCGGGGCCTCTTTCTCCAGCCTCTCCTTTTTGAGCATCACCCTGTGACAAACAGAAAACTCAGTCAAAATCCCACAACCTTGCAGGGTGATCAATGGCTCAATGAAATGCATTATTCAGAAGTCCCAGATGAACAGTGGTCCCCAACCTTTTTGGCATCAGCCACCAGTTTCGTGAAAGACAATTTTTCCACAGACCAGTTGGGGAGGGGATGGTTTCAGGATGATTCAGGCACATTACATTTGTTGCGCACCTTATTTCTATCATTATTACATTATAATGTATAATGAAATATATAATAAATGTTCATAATGAAATACAATTGTAACTATATAATATATGATGTAAATATATATTTATATACAATAAATATATAATAAAATAGAATGTAATATATAATGAAGTAATTATACATAGTTATACAATAAAAATAATTATATAGCATATTATACATAATTATTCAATCATATGCAGCTGTACAATTGAAGTACATCAACTCACTGGCCACTCACTGATAGTGTTATGATATGAGTCTACAAGCAATTGATTTATTGCGGTCTCTGTACAGTCAAACCTCACTGCTAATGTTCATCTGTATTTGCATCTGCTCCCCAGCGCCAGCATCATCTCCTCAGCTCCACCTCAGATCATCAGGCATTAGAATCTCATAAAGAGCTGCAACCTAAATCCCTCACATGCGTGGTCACAATAGGGTTCATGTGCCTGTGAGAATCTAATCCTGGGGCTGATCTGACAGGAGGCAGAGCTCAGGTAGTAATGTGAACAATGTGGAGAGCCTGTAAATCAAGATGAAACTTTGCTCACTCGCAGGCCACTCACCTCCTGTCGTGCAGCCCAGTTCCTAAGAGGCCAGGCCATGAACTGGTACTGGTTCATGGCCCGGAGTTTGGAGGCCCCTGGGTTAACTCAATTAGGAAACATCCTAATGTCTTTACTACTGACATTTCCACCATGCAATCTAGAGAAGAGAATAACAATTCAGGAAAACGTTGCCCTCTTGAGTGAAGCCAGATGTGCAAGGTACAGAACCCAGGTACATTTTCACAGCTCCTACCACATCCCAGGTTAACAGTACTGCATTGTTCTCGAATATATCGTTGTATTCACTCGGGAGCCAGCCACTCTGGCTTTTCTCCAAGGGGCTTTGGAATGTTTTCCAAAATGTCCTCAAGAGTGACAGCTTGATTTCAGCACGACTTAGGAAAATATATGATGTGTCACAAAATTACAAACTGAGTGAGTGACACATGGACATACACTTATAACAGATTAACACAACACAAAGAAGGTGTGTCATCCTGGGGACATTCATGCAGTATGGAGACTAGACTAATTATTAATGGTCACATATATTTGTTTTGCTGTAGGGCTTCATGATTGAAAACCAGGGCGTGGTCCGTGATGTTATGCTTTAGATAATGGTTTTCACCCATGGTTCTTGGCTCACAATTCTCCAAACCCTTGCTTTTACAATCTCGTATTCCAGTGTTAAGGGTGTCAGGCCTCAGGGGCAGCCTCGGAAACAGAATCTCTCAGATCTTCTTGTGCCCTCCTGTCACCTGCCCCAAGATCTTCTACTTTCTGATTGTGGGTCTTAAGACTCAACTGATTAGTGGATAATGAAAATGTGGTGTATATATACAGTAGGGAATACTATTCAGCCATAAAAAAGAATGAAATAATGTCTTTTGCAGCAACTTGAAGGAATTAGAGACCATCATCCTAAGTGAAATAACGCGGGAATGAAAAACCAAACACAGCATGTTCTCACTTATAAGTGGGAGCTAAACTAAGTGTCTGGAAAGCATAGAGGATGGTATAATGAACACTGGAGATTCACATAGGGAGGGGGAAGGAGTGAAGGGATGAAAAATCACTTATTGGGCATAATGCACACTAGTGGGGGTGGTAGGTACACTTAAAGCCCAGACTTCTTTGACGCTATACAATACAACCATGTAACCAAAAATTATTTGTAGCCACTAAAGTCATTGAAATAAAGGGAAAAAAACCCTCATATCCTTTATAATAAACCAGTAAACACTAAAAAAAGAAGAAGAAGGCTGGGCTCGGTGACTCAACCCGTAATCCCAGCACTTTGGGAGGCCAAGGCAAGTAGATTGCCTGAGCCCGCGGGTTCGAAACCCACCCGGGCAACTCGGCAAGACCTCTTCTCTACAATAAATTTAAAAAGCCAGGCATGGTAGCACGCACCTGTAGATCCGGCTACTTGGAAGACTGAGTCGGAGAATCGCCAGAGCCCAGCAGGTCGACACTGGGGTGACTGTGAGCATGCTACTGCACTCCAACCTGGGCAACAGAGTGAGACTCCAACTCAAAAGCAAAAAAAAAAGGCATGATGGCCTCAGTTTGGACCCACATGAATGAATGTAGGGTTGTGTGTGTCCGTGTGTGTAGGTTGTAAGCTACCAAAGGACACGTGCCTTTTCCTTGACAACCAGGCAGTTGCCAAGAACACTTTCACGCATGTAACTTGTTACATTTTTCATAACCTCCCACAAACTATTCTAGGAATACTCAGGGTTATTGAGTTAAATGTTCTAGTATTTGAATGCCTTTCACGTATTGTCTTCTTCTTTATTTTAAACATTATCTTTTATTATGCAGAATTTTGCCTTAAATTTTCATGTAGTTACATCTGCTAATCTCTCGCTTCATGATTCTTTCAGTCATTCTTGAATTTAGAACACCAAAATCCCAACAATGGCTGAAAGGGGTAAATTTTTTCTTGAAAAATCTAGACTTTATTTTTTTTGATAGGTACACAAAGAAAAGATCTGGAGAAATGCCTAAATATGTTCTAAGAGTGGGAAACCATCTGGTGTTTTTTTCTATTATTATCGTAGGTCAGTTGTTCATAAAATGGATTCACACATACAAACACACACAAAAACTAGTGTCAATGTCAATCCAATGTGGAACGTGCATCAGTAGTTCAGGAAACATTGCCCTAATTAATCCTCATATTAGCTACATGCCAGTTTCTATTTTTTCAATGTCCCTAAGTTTCCTAAACTTACCAGTTAAAACATTCATATGTGACTCAGAATTAGTGAATGCAATCTGATACAAACAAGAGCGACAATGCAAGAAGTGAACATTTTGTAGCTACGACTTAACTACATGACACATGAACATGCACTTACAAAAGGTATTTAGCGCAGTACAGCCAAAAAAGGCATGTTAGCATCTATCTGGATCCAGAGAAGATGAGTGTAAGAATTTTGCATGTGTGCGTGGGCATGTTCTTTTCTTATAGCAATTAACATCTGCTATCTTCACAAAAGTCATCAGGTTTTTACCATATACTACAATGCTCTTTGTTTTTCAAATTTTTGTTCTCTAACTAAATCTAGAAAGATGCATTTGTGCAAAGAAAAGCATTTCTTCACTTACCGGGTTCCCTTTTGGTCCTCGCTCACCTTTGATACCTGGGTTTCCATGTGTACCCTGAAGGCATAGGGGAAAGAAAGATGATTGTAAACAGGTATTCAATTAGTTTCCTATACTTTTTAAATCATTTCTGATCAGCACCATCTCGCACAATGAGGGAAGACTGTCAAGCAGAAAGGCAACTCTTTTCTCCCCTTTGCTACCCAGGAAGACTGCACCGTCTTAAATTGGCAGATTCCCTCATCTTTTGAGATGATTGTGTCTGTCTTTTCCCAGCAATTACTTCTTCCCTGAACAATTACTTCCCAGCAGCTTTGCAAACAAATCAAACTCATACAAATACATATAAGAGGTCAATTTGGTTGGAGTTGTTCCTGCCTGCTCTTCTGTGTGGACCCACGCCTATGGTCCCCCTTGCCCCGACACTTTTAAAAGAACCAGGCCTTGAAGCGGGGATGGCGGCATGTAACGACACAAAGGGTGTCCTAAACCAGAGGGAGTGAGAGCCAATTGATAGCCCAGACTTAACCTGCATGCAGCCTATTTGTGTAGTTAATCTTTACTTGTACCACACATCTATATAATAAAATTAAATTTAAAAACAAACATAAAATAAAAGAATCAGACCAGCTTGCTTGCCTTTGGTCAAAGAGGTTCTGATATCCAGGGGGCAATCTCAAAAGATGGAAGAAAGGAGCCCTCCAATCCTGTTCCAGAGAAGCGTTTTGTGCTCCTATTCTCAAGTCGCCAAAAAGCTTACTTTTCTCTGAACTGGCTTTGGGGATACTCAACAAATAATAAATAACATAGTTCTGTGACTTATCCCTATTAAAACACGACAATATTGAGTGACTGAGATTGTCAGGTACTCAGCAATTGTAAGCTCTCTTACTGTTCATTTTAAAACATAATTGAATATTTCTTCCCCTGGTGATCGCTCAGTGTGATACGTATAAACTAAGACTTTCCAGGGATAGTTAAAACTTTGCTTTAGCCAAAGTCAGCTTCTGTTGGTTGCCACATTGTCATGTAATATATCTACCTTTGTATTTTAGGGGAGAAATAACACAAACATCCTCGCTCTTTAATGTCTTGATTGGTAGAGTAGTTTGGAAAAATGTAGGCTTTGTACACGAGTCTCAAGGTAAAATTTGTCATATTTGAATACAATAAGTCCCCTACATACAAGTTCTGTTCTGAGAGCACGTTCATAAGTCCAACAAAGTTGCTCTAGGTATCCAACAACACAATTGACTGTATAGTACTGTGCTGTGGTAGGTTGCAATACTTTTCATACAAACAAGCACAAAAAAATAAAGAAAACAAGTTTAATCTTACAGTACCTTGAAGAGTACAGTAGGACGGTACAGTACACAAGCTGGCACACGGGACTGGCATTGAGTGGACAGGCAAGAAAAATTATGACTAGAGGAGGGAGAGGAGGAGGGAGGGGGGGTGGGAGATGGCAGAACTGAAGGAGCATCAGCAACAGGAGACGGAAGGCCAGCTGCCATGTCACTCACACCTGACATTGATGGTACAGGTTCTGGTTCCTTGTTGGATTCAACTCTATCCACCAAGTTGAAAAATGCACATTCGCATCTTTGAAAGTTTGCTACTTGAAGGTTTGTATATGGGGGACCTACTGTATATTTTCAGTACAACGTCCCTCCCTACCCCCAAATACAAACATTGGTTGAAAACTTTTACCCACACATTTTGTGAAACATCTCTAACAGGCTTCTGAATTCTTAGGGATGAGATCTGGAATCATATGCATAAATGAAATATGAAATGAGCCCATGGATGCTTTCTGATGACGGTATGAGAGAGATGCCCAGCATCTCCAGTGTTCCTGACATCATTTCGAATGCCTTCTCCGTGTAGACATGGCACCTCCCAGATAGTAGGTCAGAATATAAAGGAAGCACTCCTTCTTGGATGATCTTCTCTATTTGTGAATCATCATAGTAAATCCTACTACTTATTTGGGGTTGCCAAGAGGTTACTTCTGTTTCACAGAGTCCACCCTGATTCCCCAAAGCATCCTGACCTGACCAGCTTCCTCTCTGTGACGCCACAGGAAGTTGCTGCTGCCCTGTTGGGTTCATGTGAAGACAACTTCCAGAGAGGTTTGTGTTAACATGTTTCTAATGGAATAAAGCTTTGCGTAAAGCACTGATGACTTGGCTAATCTTTCCCTGTATTTTTCACTCCATTATTGAGAAATTCTGGCCCCAGTTATTTTAAAAGGACTGACGCCGAAAGGATCTTTGTGAGAAAAATTTCATCATTTTAAAACAGATCTTCCCTCTGCTCAGGTTTATTTCTAAGGCTAGAATGTGTCCCTTTAGAAACAAAAGGAAGAAGTAGTATTTTCATGGTTACTACTATTTCCAGTTGCTTTTCAGCAGTGCAGTAGAGACCCGGTATTTTCAAGAACGAGCAGAGCTATCTTTGCTAGAACTTCCTGATTTGGCCCCAAGTTCAACACAGAAATATACTTACAGGAGACCCTGGGTCGCCGGGATCTCCTTTCTCACACTCACAAATCTTGCGTTCACACTGAATCAGGAACAAAATATGATATTAACCCACAGTGAAACACAGCATTTCACATTTCATTCAGTACATACCCCACTGAAACACTACCCTGAAGACAGTTTACCTTGTAAATTTATGGAAATTTTGCTCTATTAAATTATTCTAGCAAATGTAGACCTAGTAAGAGCTAACAAAGTATTATTAAGCATTGCTATGGTTAATCAAAAGTATATATACCATATACAAATGCTGGTTTAAAGGAGAAAATACACATTTTCAGTGGACTTTTGGAATTTCTGCACATGCACAGAACTTACAGAATGAAATGGAAGAAAATTCCAGAACACTCTTAAGAAATGCTGCATCACCAATGCTTTTGCTGGCACAGAGGCCAGTATTACATGGAAAAACAAAGACATCAACAACTCAAAAAGTGACTCAGAAGATTTCAATGTGGATTTCACTGTGATACCAAGACGTTTCAGAGGCTGGGCACCATAGCTCACGCCTGCAATCTCAACACAATTGAAGGACAAGGCGGGCGAATTGCTGGAGCCCAGGAGTTTAAGACCAGCCTGGGCAACATAACAAACCCGCATCCCTACAAAAATTAAATTTAAAAAAAATACACACAATTAAGCTGGGCACGGTGGCTAATGTTTGTAGTCCCAGCACTTTGGGAAGCAGATGTAAGAGGATTGCCCGAGCTCAGAAGTTCGAGGTCAGCCTCAGCAACGTGGCAAGACTTTGTCTCTATAATAAATAAATAAAAAATTAGCCAGGCATGGTGGCACATGCCTATGGTTCTAGCTACTTGGAAGGCTGAGGCGGAAGGATCACCTGAGCCCAGCAGGTCGAGGCTGGGCTGGCTGTGAGCATGCTGCTGCACTCCAGCCTGGGTGACAGAGTGAGACTCTGATGTAAATAAATAAATAAAACCAATTAGCCAGGTTTGGTGGCATGAGCCTGTAGCCCCAGCTACTTGGGATGCTGAGGTGGAAGGATTACCTGAACCCAGGAGGTCTGGCCAGGGTAACAGAGTGAGACTCTGACCCTCCCCCCAAAAAAATAAGTTTTAGAAATAACCAATTTATTTGTGCTTATATATACCCTTATATGTATACACAAGAGTGATACCAAGATTTAAAAGTCTATATCTAAAATATCTCAAAGAATTATCTCCATATATTTAATACAAAATGTTTCATTAATAAAAAAGACACTATCATAGTTTAATTGCAAAGACTTTTTCCTTTCTTTATTAAGAAAGGAACATAAAGGTACATAAAACAGTGGTGTATCTGAGCATGTTACAGTTCAGTAAAACATGGTGCTCTGCAAGATGTGGCCGGCTCCTATTATTTTCTGCAACAACACTTGTAAATTTTCTGATGTTTAATAAGCAGCAAGATTCAGAGGTTCCAAATGCGTTACCTTAAGAAATGTGTGACCAGTACAGGACTCTTCCACAAACTCATAAGCATCTCTTGTGCCACATCCTAGTCAAAGATAGTGATCAGACTCCTTTGTCCTGTGGTCTGGTCACAATCATTAAGCTCCCTTTTCTTCACAACAGGAAGGAGAATAAGCTGAAGGTCAATTGGCAAGCAGCAGGAGTCCTCTGAGTTCTGTCTCTGAGGGTAGGAACACTCCGCCTAACCCTAGCCAGCACCAGGAGTACCCCACAAAGGATGGAACCCCCTGAGTGGTTGGTGTCAGAGACATTCTTACAATCAAGGAAGCCATATCAAAGTAAGCAAAAACTATAGTATATTGTTTGGTTCTCATTGATTTGTAAAATCACTCTCGAGAGTCACATTAACTATTTCCTGCTTTTCTAAATTTTCCAAACTGCAGTGGACTGATTATGAGGGCATGAAAGAAATCAGATGGCTGTCTCAAAAGAGAGGGGCTCATTTTTAAAACAACTAAGTATTTTAATTGGGTCACACCCAATCTCACTGAATTATAATGCTGATTTGATAGTGCAAGTATTTAGAGTAATTCATTTAGAGTAATTCATAGTAATCAAGCATGTGGTGCTTACCTTCTTTTCAAATAAGATATCCTAGAAGGGAAAAAAGAATGAAGCATTAACTCGATTCATGGTTCTGCTCCCAGCTACTTATTAGTCTTAATTATTCCCTATGGGATATGCAGTTTCCACAAAGAATAGCAATTCAGTCTTTTTAACCTCGTTAAAGCAATAAAGCCTACCAGCCAACCACCCAAGGAGCACTAAGAGCCCTGTAATGACGGGAGACACAACTAACACTACAAATTAATCTATCTTTCCTAGAAACTTTATCTCATTGCATTCTACATTTTATTTTTTGTTTTTTTAAAATCAGGTCTATGATCTCCATAATTTGGCTACAAGTTTAATCAGTCATAACGAGAAAGTTCTCACATTTACTTAACAAAAGTTGAGGCAGGATACATAACTGTGTGTTTCCTTTTCTATTTTTTCATCCCTATACATATATACACGTATTTATTTCCCAGGATTAAAACATACTTTTAGAGTCATAGTGTCATGAAATATTAAAGGACCTTAGATAATCATTTTAAAACTCAAAAAGAGAAAATTAGAAAATCCAGTGACATTTTTTAGGTAAGCTAGATTATAAGAAGACAAAGATTTTCATTACTATGGTCACTAGGAAAAGGGCTTTCTATTTGCCATGTGAAGAGCCTCAAATTTGATACTTTATTTATAGAGATTCAACATAAGAAAAAGATATTCAGCTTTTAAGTAAGCAGTATTAGAAATAATATTTTGGTAGAAAATTCAAACAGTCCATGGCAATATGCATCGCTTACATAAAAGAGGACCTACATTTATAAACTGCCTCCTTAGGGAAAAAGTAAATGATGAAAAAACAATAAATATTTAATAATAAAAAATGATCATTGTGAAATGTATACATAAATGAGCCTGAGTAGTCAATCAGGTTCAACCTAGTTCCTTAGTAATGTGACTCGGCCAACACCACACACTTGGACTGAGACTCTTGACCGTCTTTGGTGCCACTCATCCTTACCCACAGAGGAGTGAAATAAACAGAGTATTTTTTGAAACTACTTTACATTCATAATTTTGCAGAAATGTCATGGTCTTGGTTTTGTCCAGCACCCAGGCCTCACCATACTTTAGCTCAGACAAATGCACTAAAGGTCATGTCTGAAGAAAAATACTAAAAAGAAATTAACCCATGTTTACAGATAGAATTAGTTCTTGCTTAAGGTAGAAATTATGTGTCAAACTAGAGCCTTACAATTGAATCTGAAGGGGTAATTTACAGATGATAAAATAGAAAGATGAATGCAAGCACTAGAATATTTATTGCAGGACATTCTTATGGCAAGACAAGTTGTAGTGCATATCTTTATGAAGAACTCCACATCCCTTTATCTTTATTTCCATACAAACTAATAATACAGAGGAAAGAGGCAGCACAATGCCCTAATGATTTAATAAAGAAGAAAGGCTGGGAATTAAGCGTCATTCTGGGTTTTGACCCTGTTTCAATCATTAACTAGCTATGTGGCCTTGGGCAAGTCAGATAATCCTTCCAGGTCATTTTCTCATATATTATAAAGGTGAAAGTTTGACCACGTGGTCTTAGGCACTCTAAAACTCTGGTCGCAGATGCTGCCTACACATGGGGAGTCTCCTGTCACCCTCCCCCACTAAATGACATTAAATGACTAGCCGTGTAAATCCAGGCTGAAAAAAGATGAGATCCTTGCAACTTTAAGCACAAGTAGGTTGTGTGGAGGAAAGGGAATGAGACACACCGACAACCTCAGTGTCCAAGGGCGTCACCCCCAGTAGGACATTTGGTTGTGACAATTGCGCTGAAACATGCATGCCTCCTCTCTCAGGTGCCCAGAACTAGCTTTGCTCTCACCTGTTGTCCTCACACCCTTGCAGGATGCCCTGGGGAGATTCTTGCTCATGTTCAATTCAGCATTCATTGTCTTTAATAGTAAAAATATGGAAATAATGAAACTATTCATCCACAGTGGAATGGATCAATAAATGAAATGCTCTTCAGCAGTTAAAATGAATGTGTTGGATCCACAGATTTGGATCCAAATCCACATACATTTCCAAAATCCACATACATTTCCAAAATCATGGAGTGAAAAATGCAAGTTATACGTGGATACATACAATAGGATCGAGATTATGAACATAGGTATTTGAATATCTCTTTTGGCTGGGCTTGTTGGCTCAGCCTGTAATCCCAGCACTTTGGGAGGCTGAGGCGAGTGGATTGCCTGAGCCCACAGGTTGGAGACCAGCCTGAGCAACTTGGCGAGACCTTGTCTCTATAATAAATCAAAATTTATTCAGGCACGGTAGCATACACCTGTAGTTCCAGCTACTTGGAAGGCTGAGGAGGAAGGATCACTGGAGCCCAGCAGGTCGACACTGGGGTGGCCGTGAGCAAGCCACTGCATTCTGACCTAGGTGACAGAGTGAGACTCTAACTCAAAAAGAAAAATAAATAAATATTTCTTTTTTTATATATTGGAAAATTTACTTTATTTAAAGAGTAAATTAAAGGGAGAGAAGATAGAGATTCACCTCCCCAAGGTAGGGGAGGGGGCCAAAGCTAAGAAACATGGCAGCGATCGCTCAGAGAACCATGTGGACACATCAGAGTTTAGCAAAGCAATGGCCGTATCTAAATATTTCAAACCACATCAGAGGTGTGGTTTCCACTGGAAGGGAGAGAGGGAACAGGAACTCAAAAGGAGTTCAAGAGAGGCAAGAAAACAACTAACCATTCAGGTCAAATTACAATCTTTAAAAATACAGAAAAATTCAAAATGTGTCACTTCATAACCTTTTTACAATAAGCAATATACTAACCAGTTTTAAAATTTATGAATTTAGTTTTTACTTTGCCTGATCTGTAATTTGACACTTTTTTTCCAACTCTTCCTTTGAAAACGCCATTTTTGCTTTGCCCTATTGCTCTTTAGAAATATGTGTTGTAAGGTCCAAAACCATAACAACACAAAAAACGAATTATTTTGGGAGCCCATTTGATTTTGTGTTTGCTGGAATTTATATTTCTATGGAAACAAAAATGGACCCAAAACTACACAATAGATAAGACTGTTTCAAACAAAGAACAAAGCCCCATTCCTAAGGGCACTTATAGTCTATAAGCCCGAGACAGAGGACAACACTCAGCAAACAGTGTAGGAAGGAGGTCTTGGGAGGGAGGGGGAGCCAGTAACAAGACAGTTTCCTGGAATAGGTGGCATTTCTGGATGAAGAGAGGAAGGCAAAGGATCAGCTCATTGATGGCATGCTGTTCTATATGTCAAAGTTTATGAGGAAAATTCATAAGGACTATGTAGGCAATAAAACAAAGAATGCAGTGAGGAGAGACATTTACAGTGAGTGGACAGGCTGGGAGTAGTGGCTCACAACTGTAATCCCAGCACTTTGGGAGGCCGAGGCAAGAAGATCGCTGGAGGTTAGGAGTTTGAAACTAGCCTGGGCAACATAGCAAGACTTCATCACTACCAAAAAAAAAAATTTGTCCAGGTATGGTGGCGCTACTCAGGAGGCTGAGTTGGAAGGATCTGGGCCCAGGAGGTCGAAGCTGTGGTGAGCTGTGATCATGTCATTGCACTCCAGCCTGGGCAACAGAGTGAGACCTCAACTCAAAATAAATAAATAAAAATGGAGATAGTAATGGTACCTACATCATAAGACTGTGGTAAACATTGAATGAAAATATATGATGTGCTCCGAGCAATGCCTAATACACAGAGAGCACTGAATTCATGATGGCTATTGTTTGAATAAGAGCTAGGGTCTCATGCTGAAAACCACTGAGAGTAAAAGACAAGAGTTTTTATGTGATGAAAAGGATAGAGGAAAAGATGAGAGATGCAAAACAGTCTCTGAAGTTGGGCCTGAGTCTCCTATTCAACCTATAGAACAGCTATGTGAAGTGCTCGGTCCCTGAAGGCCATCTCTGCCTTTCCTTCTCAGGAAATCAAAGAACTCGGTATGTTTCAGAAAATCGATTTTCAAAACTTAACAAATCAACCAATGTATCCCCAGGAGCTTTGTCCTTGAGAAACGTGGAGTGGGATTTCATTTTGATTGCCTTGCGTCTTACAAAGCAGTGAGGAAAGGCTCTCACAGACAGCTGAGCTACCAATCAAGGAAGCTCATCAGTTCAATTGAATGGGACCCATGGATTGGATGGGATAAACTGGTGGTTGACTGCAGCTTGTAGGTGACTTTAAATTGGATGGGTTTGTTCACATTTAAGAAACAGGGAGATTTTTTTTTTTGGTATTTTTTTATTTTTTGAGTTGGAATCTCACTCTGTTGCCCAGGCTGGAGTGCAGTGGCATGCTTACAGCTACCACAGACTTGACCTGTTGCCCAGGCTGGTTTTGAACTCCTGGACTCAGGCAATCCTCTCACTTACACCTCTCAAAGTGCCGGGATGATAGGACTGAGCCACCATACCCGGCTGAGATCATTTTTGAAGTTGAAAGTCTGTGAACTTTGCTTGAGCAATGTAAGGTGACAGCGGTGGAAGAGAGTAAAAAATGTTTCTGTAGATGTGGAACAAGAAAAGACCAACTTAGTATACAGATAGTAGACCACGAGTCAAGCACAGGTTGAATGTAAGTCAGCAGTGTTCATGGTCTTAGTATGTTGAAACAGGAGCCTGAGATGTGTGGTTAGAAAGCAATCCTTCCAAAATTCTCAGTGTTGGTTAGCAATAAAGCTAGAAATGCAATTCCAGGGGATAAGCCCAGTGTTCTCTAGTATTCCTGGTGTAAACTATCAAGGAAGTACAGAGAAACTTCAGAAAGATTCTTCTTTGTGCTTTCAATGTAAACGCTAATTGTTTTCATCTTTTTTGACCCAGTATCAATCCTTGCAGAATTTATAACAAAGATATTAATATTATGATGAAAAATGTATAACTAACCCATTAAATACCTACCAGGCGATCCCGAATTTTATCTACAAGGGTTGGATCACTCAGTAGAAGAATGGGTTCACTGGATACATCCCCAGAGATCAAACGAAGTTTGGCTTCATTGACGATGGTAGAAAGTCCAATGGTGATGAATGATATTCCTGAAACTCTGGCATCTTCAGAAATACTTTGAACATCTGGATTCTTTGGATGGTCGATACCATCAGTCATCAGTAAAGTCACTTTCATACCATCTTTACGTCCCTCTCTCTTAAGTAGCCTAGTGGCATTGGAGATAGCATAATAAGAAAAGGTGCCTTGCCCAATGAAATTCATCGACTTGACCTTCTGCTTAAAAGTCTGCAGGTCCTTCCAAGAAGAAAATGGTGGATCAATTTGTACAGAGCTGCTGAACTGAAGAGCTGCCAGTCTGATGTCATATTTCAAGGAGCGACCAGGAGTCAACTGGAAAATCTTGTCACTCAAGTTATTCACAAACTCTTTCTGTTTATCAAAGAGGACAATTTTAGAACTTTCAGAACTGTCCACGACGAAGACAATGTCTATGAAGCAGGTGGAGTCTGAAATAGAACAAATACGTTAGGCAAAATCACTGCCCCTACTCCTGAGACAAATTTGCCTGCCCTGGGGTGATACGTTGTGTATTGTTTGGTTTTGAGAGCAGAGTGGAAAATAAGAGACACACCTTGGAGATGAGGCTTAAATTCTAAAAACAAAGTTCTTTCCAAGTCTACAAGTCCCCTTGTAAAAATTATGCAAATTAAAAATAAACAACATTTCTGGGAAGATGCTGGTGTGGCGTGAGTCCCTGAGTGTGTGAGTGATCAGATGGACAATTCTGCATGTGTTTCTGTGTGTGAGTGGGAGTGTGAAAAGCTGACTGAGTGGGAACTTGACAGCGAGTGGCCAGGGCCCTCCTGGTGAAGCCCCTGTTGCCACAGCTGCTTTGCTTGGACCCTAGCACTTCCCCGGTCACAGAAACTGAGAAACATTTTCTAAAATCAGCAGAGCTTATCCTGGTAAGAATGGCCGGAGTGATTGCTGACCCCAACACCACAGGGTCGGGCTGAATGCTGGCAGCAAGGACCATGGAGTGAGTGCAGTGAGGGAGCCTGAGGCAGAGTATCCAGGAAACAACAGGGAGAAGCCACCATGAGCCTGGACTGGACTCCAGAGCCTTGCCACCAAGTCCTGAGATCCAGAGACTGTGGTAACAGCTGAAGAGGGAGTTATCAACTCCATTGGTGACAGGAACAGCAGCCAACAGAGAAACTGATCAAACTCTCTAATGCCTGGGCAGAAAAGTGCTTCAGGGTAGCCTCTATGGAACAGCAGAACTGTATTTTGGGACCAGATGCTATCTCTGTGTTACATTGAGGCTGCTCTTTAGGACCTCAGAGAACATTCCTTCTGCCCCCCTCCAACCCACCCTTCCATGCCCCCAATAAGCCCTGACGGGTAACCGCAGATGCAGAACCCCAGACAATCCACCCTTCACCCTGAGCCAGTTGCTGGGCAATAGATACAGACAGCAGAACTGCCCAAGAAGGAGGCTGGTGAGTGCCTAACTGACTCCCTCCCTGCCCCTAGCAACAAGTGAAAGGCAGACACAGGAGGGCAAGGCAGACACAGGAGGCCCCACTCCCCTGCTGTGAACTGGATGCCTTGGGAGCTATAACAAAGCTGAGAGAGTAAGAAAGGGGGTGAGATTGTGAGAGACACTGTGTCAAGTTATTTTAGCCTGTTTCCCTCACATGGCAGTGGGAGGGCTACCAATTGCAGGCAGCAGCAGGTGAAGAGTCTAACATCTTAAGTTCCAACAGCGAATAGGGAACCTGCAGTAACAGCCCTACAGTTGCAGAATCTATCACAAGAGGGAGCCCCTGCTCTCAGAGACATACTAAAGCTGAGAACTCTATCAACTTATTGGGGGAGGTGGGGGAAGGGGGTTATTGGTTTATTTGTTTATCTCGTTTGGTTGCTTTATTGATTGGTTTTCTCTTCTTTCCTCCTACTTTTCTTTGTTCTTTCTCTGTTTTCTCTTTCTTTTTCTCTCTCCTTCTTTCCCTTTTTTCTCTCCTTCTTCCCTCTCCTTTCCTTCTTATACCCTGTTTTGGTATAAGAAGCCGCTGGCTTTTTCTCTCTCCTTCTTTCCCTTTTTTTCTCTCCTTCTTCCCTCTCCTTTCCTTCTTATACCCTGTCTTGGACTCAGGAGATATGCAGGCATACCCACTATCAGGTCATATTTTGCAGAGATGGAGAGCAAGTCCCAGCTGGCCCACTCATCAGAGAGCAAACATTATGACCTGCCTATAGATTCTGAATCCTTGCAGCCACTCTCTCAAAATTGTACTCAAAATTGTAAACCAGGCTCAGTGGCTCAGCCTGTAATCCCGCGCCTTTGGGAGGCTGAGGTGAGTGGATTGCCAGGTGGGTTTGAGACCCGCCTGGGCAACTTGGCAAGACCTCATCTCTACAATAAATCAAAAATTAGCCAGGCATGGTAGCGCATGCCTGTAGTTCCAGCTACTTGGAAGCCTGAGGCGGACGGATCACCTGAGCCCAGCAGGTCGAGGCTGTAGTGGTCGGGAGTGGCCACTGCACTCCAGTCTGGGTGACAGAGTGAGACTCCAACTCAAAAAAAAAAAATTGTAAAGAGACAGCACAAGCCCCCACCACCAGCCCTACTTCATAATTGAACAAACCCAGAGCCCTGGCTCAAGGAAGGACAAAAGGTGGAACAAATTCAGAAGTGACTACTTCTCCATTTTCCACAGAGAAACAGAATTAAAGAGAAAGATAAGAGAACTGCTACAAATGAAGAAAAACCAATGAAAAACTGTCTGTAACCATCAGAGCCTCAGCAAAGAATCAGTGCTACTTACTGACCCTTTCACAGTTACTGGGGCACAAATAATGGCTATCTCCCACAACAACAGTACTCAGAAGGTACTAACGGAGATCAGAGAATCATTGGATTGAATGAATAAAAATCAAGAAATGCAAGGGATGAAACTAAATGAAATTGCAACAGAGCTAGACAGACTCAAGAAAGCATACTTAGAAATAACAGAGATAAATAAACCCATCCAAGAAATAAACAACAAACTGACAAGCATGGGAAACAGAATTGACCAAGCAGAAGATAGAATCTCAGAGCTGGAAGACCAAAATATGGAATTAACTCAATCTTTAAAATATAGAAAAAAAAACTTAAGAAGAAAGAAGAAATGCTCCAAGATATGTGTGATTTTATCAAGAAATCAAACCTACATGTGATCAGAATACCTGAAATAGAAAAAGAGATGGAAAACACCCTGGAACAAACATTCTATGAGGTCATTCAAGAAAACATCCCTCATCCGGCCAGAGAGACTACTATACAAGACAAGAGATCCAGAGAATCCCTGCAAGACATCTTATGAGAAGACCAACCCCTAGTCACATAGTAATTTGTCTACGCAAAGTAGGTATAAAAGAAAAAATCCTAAAGGCAGTGAGGGAAAAAGGTCAGACTAACTACCGGGAAAGACCAATCAGAATTTCTGTAGACTTATCTACAGAACACCACAGGCCAGAAGGAATTGGACCCCAATCTTTAATGTTTTCAAATATAAACAATTTCAACCAAGAATTTCCTCCCCAGCCAAGCTAAAATCTTTCCTGGGCCGGGCTCAGTGGCTCAGCCTGTAATCCCATGCCTTTGGGAGGCTGAGGTGAGTGGATTGCCTGAGCCCACAGGTTCGAGACCCACCTGGGCAGGCGAGACCTCATCTGTACAATAAATCCAAAAAATTAGCCAGGCGTGGTAACGCATACTTGTAATTCCGGCTACTCGGAAGGCTGAGGCGGAGGAT